ATGCAAATACCATTTTTTCAAACACGCTGACATCATTTGATATTAAATTAAGAATTTTTCCAGGTGTAGTTCGATTTAGGGCACCGTTGCTAAGTCTTAATAATTTTCTGTATATAAGACTGCTGCATATGACCCGTATTTTCAATGCGGTCACGTAGGATCCCATTACAGCAGGTTGTGCTAGAAAACAGTGCAGGAATACCGTCATAATAACAGCCAAGGCATATAAATACGGAGTCCAGTCTTGCTCGAGTCCCAAGGTGCTACATGATATTAATTCGCCAAGAAAGAAAGCTTGCAATGGTCTAAAACCAAAATATCATATATGACTAAAGACGTGTATATTTATTGCTACCTTATGATCACATCGGCAGTAGCTGTAATTGCAGTACACAGCAGATATTCTCTGAGTAGCATTTTGACCAATAGCTTTCTTAACGATGGTTGTCGTTTATTTCCTGACGCATTTCTAATTTCATCTTCCCATAATTTTATGGCAGAGACACCCAAAGTACTTGATTTCTGATCATGAAGGGTTTCGTAAATGTCATCCTCAGTAATTCCCTTACGATACCCCAGCAAAAATGTAGGTAAAGTAAAGCTAAAATTGTAAGATAATTAATTAACATCTCGAATTAAATACTACTTACAAGTAAGTCCAAACAGATAGCAGAGTAGCATTTTCCCTTGGGTTGCGGTTTTGAGGCCGATACCTAGAATTATCCTCCATTTTTTCAGTGGAAACGTTGTCGACGCTATTGCGTTAGATAACGGAGATTACAGAGTGATAAGTGCTTCGTCCCACAATGCAGCCTAGAAAAGATAAAGGGTTACTTAATTAACAATTCAATAAAAAGGCAAATTTAATTTCGCGCCATCAGCACAGACAGAGTTATTTGTTTATTTGTCATTAAAGTGCTAAATGTTTGCGCAAATTTCAATCCAAGTCTGATTACAGGCATTTTGTTTAGAGGAACCCAAAGTTCAAAAACGCGCGTAAACTAATTTCCAATAAAATTCAAGTATCTCAGACCAAACGCTATTAATCGCAAGCACGATACACTTACAACGGTATGCTCTTGCGCATCTAGTGTGACGTCACGTGCGAACAAAACCACAGAATATAGAGCAAAATTACGCTTCTTAGATAGACAAATCACACTGATATGTGTAGAGATCGTCGCGTCGGGTATTTCTGGGATTTAGCGATCGTATGAAATAAACTCTAACCAAAAATATAGGCTCTAAACATGAAGTGCGGCTTTTTAAGTAAATATTATGTAATTAATGCGTTATCAAAAGATCTAATCTCTCCTCCGTTTTCCTGTTATTTTGATTTTCATTATTACGTGGTGGTTTTAAAGTAGGTACAGGATCAGGTTTCAAATGTCCGCTATTTTTAAAAGTGTAATTAAGAAGTCGTTCCCATAGCGGTGCTTCAAAACGGCTGGATTCAAAATGGACAGAACAAATACAGACTATAAAATTAAACAGCAATGTAAATACTAAAATACACCATTTTTCAAGTTAATTTTATCATTACAACGACATGCAACAATCCATTTTCGAGAAAATTCTTCAATGTCTGGAAATCGAAAGTATTATATTTCCGTTCCTTTTGATTTTCTATTAGAATTGCTCCATTGAACCACTACACAACCTGGCATTTTGGAATTTTCACTAACGATTAGTTATATCAACAAATTAACGCTAAAGCTCGTAGATACAACTGATCAGTTGCAAACTGTCACGCGTGACATGTGTACTGGATCGTGAATAAACATTTGAATTTTGGCGCCACACGTTCGCAGATGACGTAATGCGCAGTAGAAAACGCGTTTGAGAAAAATAATGAGCATACCGTGTGTAAGTGTATCGTGGTCGGATCGCAAGTATGTAAGCGATTATTCGGGGGTGAATACACAAGAGCTTGATTTTTAATCGGACAATTCAACTCATGTATAAAGAAAAGCTTAGACTATATATAGTACATGGACTGCTAATTGTAACTAAAATATGTTCAAGGACATTACCTGGGTATGTGCGTTTCAGGGTAAACGAGTCTGTCCGAAATTGTCCGATGCGACACGATTTGTGGCTGTTAACCTATAAATTAACAAACGTCAATTAATTAAGTGCCCAGATATGGCAAAAAAGCAAACATTCTTATTTGCGGACGTATAGAAGATAATCAAGAGATTTAAAGCTTCCCATACTACGCGGTTACCACAAAAGCTACTCTTTTCGCGATCCGAGTGGTGTTCATACGACTTTAGTTTATCATGAAATTCACATACCCTAAAGTCACTAGATATAGAAAGTACCGCAACCATCCGCCATTTTTGGGCAAATTTGCTGCCAACTTAAAAAAATTGACAAATAAAATCTGAATAGCTGTCATTTTTTATAACCTAACTTCATAGTACTGTCATGTTTTATAAAAATATATACAGATATCTCCAAGCAAAAATCATGCGTTCTCTCTCTAACACACGAGCCCAATGGATTGCGGTACTTTCTATATTTAGTGACTTTAACATACCCTAAAGTCACTAGATATAGAAAGTACCGCAATCATCCGCCATTTTTGGGCAAATTTGCTGCCAACTTACAAAAATTGACAAATAAAATCTGAATAGCTGTCATTTTTTATAACCTAACTTCAAAGTACTGTCATGTTTTATAAAAATATATACAGATATCTCCAAACAGGTGGAACAATCCCTACCATTAAAGTTACTAGAATCTGGTAACTTCCGCCATTTTTGGGCAAAAATCATGCGTTCTCTCTCTAACACACGAGCCCAATGGATTGCGGTACTTTCTATATTTAGTGACTTTAACATACCCACGACTACAGTGCCCTCTATCCGTGACCAACAATTTTGTATTGAAAGCATAGGGCTAATAGCAGTTCATGTACTATATGGTGATAATAAATCACATAAGCCGCAGTGCAATTGTCACCTTGACAGCGGCAAAAGTTACCTGCAACTTTTTCAGCGACAAATGCACTAGTGGTTTTTCACTTATTCATTTTCGAACCAATTATCGCATTATCCGTTTCCATATGATTAGTTTGACATTTGTCAATAATTGATTGATTTGGTGGTTTCTTGTTCGTTAAATTGTCCTGCCGAATTACACTCGAGGTTTGTATTTAAACCGAGTAAATTTGTGTTGTTGCAATTCAAATCGGTTGCCTTTTAGCAAAGGGGGCATCCCGGCTTCATTTTTTATTTCTTATCTACAAAGTACATTAAAAATAAAAAGACCCACGCGTCCTCAATTTTTATTTGCGAGTAAAATACACCCAAAATAAATGATTGAAAAGCTGTGTTTTTAATCCGAATTTGAAACTCTTCAGTCTAAATACGTCACAAACCTACAATCAATCATGTAGAAGTGAACCGGCAACCTTGTGTGAGGGTATGACGTTTGTCGGATTTGACGTTTTAAGAGGCATACGCATTCCTACGCGCATTTTTATCGCTGATAAAAAGCTACCTAGCTTTTAAGCATATAAAAAATCATCTGATTGGTTAGAATTTGAAACAAAAACCAAGCTGATTGGTCATACGAGTATATTAATGGAGTGTATTAATTACATGAAACGAAATATTTCTTCTTACCCGTATAGGACCGGGATTGAGAATATCCCTAATGCATCGACATTGCATGTCGCAAGAGGCGATTAATTAATGCAACAGAGGGGTGGATGTGATGAAAATTGGAGTTCGCATAACTACAATTATTTGAAGCCTGGAAAAATAATAAAACTGAACTTTTTACTTGATATGAAAGCGAATGCACGTGTGTTATGTTTTAAATTTAAGTGGATTGTTGTGATAAATTATCGGGCGCCGCAATGGATTACGGGCAGAGATTGATAGCAAAAAAGGAAAGTAAATATAGGTCATCACTCATCAGTATTATATTGAGAAAAGATTAGAAAAGATATTGTGAAAACGCGTAGTACGGATAGGCAACACACATTACGTGCACTTGGGTTTAATGTTGCATAACAATAGCGTAGACGATGTACAGGGTGTAAATCGAAAAGTCGAACATAGGCGTTTCATATGGGAAATTACTTTTTCTTTGCGCAAACGTATTATTTTACGCAAAAATACTTCAAATAAAAGTTATAGAGATATAAATTCTGCATCTAAATCATGTGAAATGATTATTCTACCTCTTCTTGAACGTGAAAAAGTTAATTATAAAGATTCTGTTTTCACGAGTTTTTAGTCTAAGTAGCCATGGAGTATGATCAAGAAAAACATACAGTATAATACCATAAATAGGTTTTGATACATCAGTATATACACCGTACGGACGATTCGAGTTTCGAACGCAATATTTTATGGCGCGCTATGCACTATTCCTTTTGTTTGTTTGCTTGTTTTTGTTCTATCTGTTACAGATAAGGCAGAAAAGCTCCCTTCTCAAAACAATGATCCCTATATATTCCGCTATTTGGAATACCATTATCATTTATCCATCGATTGTGACAACAATTTTTGTTTATGTTCTACCCCTGTTAATTATTTTATTTCTTCAGCTTATCAAGACCAGAACAAGGATCTCTTAGTGTGCCTTGTTGCTCCTTTCAGTAAGTATTCTCTTTTGAAATTTATTAAAGACTAAGTGGCGCCTATTCGGTTTACTATCACTATCACTATATTTCTTTTTTGCTTCGTTTTGCCAAAGGTTTTGACTAGTGTACGAGAACCCCATTATTTACCTCGACCCACCTCTATTTTCCTGATTTTACCGTGTGCTTATCTAACTGTAATTTTGTTACGTTTGCTCAAAGTGAACGTAACATACTTATATGCTACACCCTGTGTAAATTATAATTGCGATTTTCCTTTTCTCGGAATCTGAAATGGTTCACTAACTTGTTTTCAATAACACAGAAAATAGAAACTATTAAGGAAATTTTAAGATTGTTGTTGATGCCCTCTGGTTTTCCCTTAGAAGTTCAAACTGAATCATAGGTTTATCAGCAGTTTATATTTTTCAATTCACATTCAACCTCATTACATTAGTGAAACATGTCATCCTTCTCCATTCGAATTAATAGGGCTCTTTGAGTAGTTCTGCAAGTATAATATAGATTAGACACTTTCAAATCTAAGAGCAGCATTTTGTACCTTTCTCGCAAGATCAAACAAGGCGTCGGCCATTACTTTCTCCGTCTGTTGCACCAAATTATAAAATGCACCATCTTTATTTTGAAGTAATACATACGGATGATCAAACTCAACTGCTACCCCAGAATCTAGTACCAATATTTTATCCGAATCTATTACTGTGTTTAGTCTATGAGCTATTGTAATCACTGTACAACATGAGAATTTTGTTCTTATGGTCTCCTGAATAATTTCGTCAGTTTTTAGGTCGACATTAGCAGTTGCCTCATCCAAAAGTAGTATTTTGTTGTTTCTAACTATTGCACGAGCCAAACAGATAAGCTGCCTTTGCCCTACGCTAAAGTTCGCTGTGTCTGGGGATATTTCAAAGTGTAAGCCTTAAATTATTATAATTAGGTGGGCAAATATTCTAGGTGGTATACCTGCGGATAAACCGGCGACAAGTTCTTTTAATCTTACTTCTTCTA